TGGCTGCCATCACGGACACCGATCAGAAAAAAAAATTGTCTCTGCTTATTATTGATGACTTGTTAAAGACAAATGACGGTTATCTACGCAAAAAAGTAAAAATGGTTGCCGTTAGAAATAATCTATGTCCAACAAGTTCAAGTATTTTTTTGAAAACTGAAGTGACAAAGCATGTAAAAAGTGTCCTGAGAAAACCTAGGATCTATCAGTACATACATGTTTTTTTTTTCTATCACTCAATGTGAGTATCACAGAACAGAAAGACAGATAGGCTAGACCTTACGCAACAGTGACAACCACGTGATAAAACTTACTCAGGGAGAGACTGGTTACAGATATTGATCGATATGTCAAAACATGACGAGGGGGGCGTGTGTTTCAAGTGTAGTCCAAGTTAACGACTAGGCAGTAGACTACCTACAGTGACACTGCTGGCTGTGTTACTGTTAGGCCTAACGGGAGTGACTTAACATTTTACTAAAATTAGGCCACCCAGAGGACCTAAAATTGCTTAGAGGTGATCTAACATTCTTGTGGATTATAAAGTTAACATTAAACACGACAAATGCGTTTTAAAAAAACATTTTTTATGGAGAAAAACAACAATAAGCATTAAAAATTACTTACGACATCGAACATTCCACCATTTTGAAAACATCAAATCTAATCGCTTAAACACTTCCTGGGAGGATTAGGTCGATTTGCCTAATCAGTTGAGTAAAATCGTCTCACAAATGTAACGATTAGCATAATCAACTTGGTTCACAAATGCGTATAATAGCTAATCGGTCTAATCTAATCGGTTCACAAAAACGCCTTATATTCATAGAGGTGACCAACAACCCTTCTATTTAACCTGAATACGATCCACCACTCATCATTATCACCGATTTCATGATCCAAAAGAATTGAACCACCAAGCTACGTAATGACTCTATACTCCGCAACCTTGAGACCGATCGTAGCAAACTCCTTACGTATTCTAGTCTTTTATTCCTCCTCTGCACGTTTGAAGATTAGGAGGTTCTGGATGACCATTGTGGACGCTCTAGAGGCTAAAGTTAATATCCGATTGATTTTAAATTTATATACAGTGTTTAAGGCCAAGAAACGAAGAAGCCTATTGATTTTCAGCGACTTCCGATAATTACTGCCAGAGTTATGGCCCTTGATCACTTCAAAAAATCTTGTGGACGCTCTAGAGGCTATAGTTAATATCCGATTGACTTTAAATTTATACACAGTGTTTAAGGTCATGAAGACAAGAAGCCTTTTGATTTTCAGCGATTTCCGATAATTATGGCCCTTGATCACTTCAAAAAATCTTGTGGACGCTCTAGAGGTCAAAGTTAATATCCAATTGACGTTAAATTTATACACAGTGTTTAAGGTCATGAGACGATGTAGCCTATTGATTTTCAACGATTTCAGATAATTACTGCCAGAGTTATGGCCCTTGATCACTTTGAAAAATCTTGTGGATGCTCTAGAGGCTAAAGTTAATATCCGATTGACTTTATACACAGTGTTTAAGGTCACGAGACGAAGAAGCCTATTGATTTTCAGCGATTTCAGATAATTACTGCCAGAGTTATGGCCCTTGATCACTTTGAAAAATCTTGTGGACGCTCTAGAGGCTAAAGTCAATATCCGACTGACTTTAAATTTATACACAGTGTTTAAGGTCATGAGACGAAGAAGTCTATTCATTTTCAGTGATTTTCGATAATTACTGCCAGAGTTATGGCCCTTGATCACTTCAAAAGGTGGACGCTCTAGAGGCCAAAGTTAATATCCGATTGACTTCAAATTTATACACAGTGCTTAAGGTCATGAGACGAAGCAGCCTATTGATTTTCAGTGATTTACGATAAGTACTGACAGAGTTATGGCCCTTGATCACTTTGAAAAATCTTTTGGACACTCTAAAGGCTAAAGTTAATATCCGATTGACTTTAAATTTATACACAGTGTTTAGGGTCATAAGATGAAGTCTATTCATTTTCAGTGATTTTCGATATTTACTGCCAGAGTTATGGCCCTTGATCACTTTGAAAAATCTTGTGGACGCTCTAGAGGCCAAAGTCAATATCCGGTTGACTTTAAATTTATACGCAGTGTTTAAGGTCATGAGACAAAGAAGTCTATTCATTTTCAGTGATTTTCCATAATTACTGTCACAGTTATGGCCCTTGATCACTTTGAAAAATCTTGTGACGCTCTAGAGGCTAAAGTTATCATCCGATTGACTTCAGATTGATACACAGAGTTTAAGAGCTTGAGACGAAATGAAATGAAATGATATGGGGTTTAACGTCCTACTGTTTTGCTCCGAACTGGGCTAATGAAGACGGGCATTCGCCATACAGTGTGCTATGAGGGAAATTTTGCCCGGACAGCGGCACTACGGCCTACTCTTATATCGAATTCCAACTGTCAAGGGATCTTTTACGTGCACGCCAATGAGTACACGGGACCTCGGTTTTTCGTCCCATCCGAACGACTAGACAGCTGTCCTTGTCAGCCCCTCCGTCCTGCATCACTGAAGCTTGAGACGAACAAGTATATTGATTTTGAATGAATTTTTATGACTTGAACAGCTAAATCCATGATATTAAAAACCAAACAAATTCTAATAGTTTTCTGATAATTACTTCATGAGTGTATTATAAATGTTTCATTACCGAAAGAAGTAAAAATGTGCGACAACACTTGTTGACTGCCCAGACGATTTAGCTGCTGTGGGCGTATGTTTCGTTGCCTGGCAACCTATCTTTTTATCAACTTATCCCATCAACGCAGAAGAAGATGAAACAACCACCGCCACAGCCATCCTGGAGACCATTAACTACTATTCATTTTAAATCATTCAATAATTATCATCAATCTTTAAATACTCTTAGTCATTCATTCTTCTTTTTTATCATTTTAAACAATTCTTGCTAATCATTTTAGCAATTTAATCAAATTTGTACATAATCTTATACTTTAATTAAATTTAACAATCCTTTCTTTCTTTTTTTAACAATCTTTATACTGTACATAAATAAATTTAAAAATCCTGTGACGTCACCACCATTATTGTATATAAGGCGTCACAGGATCATTATAATTTAATCTTGATAAAGGGTATTTCACCCGAAACGTCGACCAATTAAACGATCTTCTACTTCTACAAGTCTGTTGTGTATTCTGTTGAGCGGGGATTCTTTAATTTTATTTTACTACTACGCCCTGCCGGTATCATCTTTTGATTCAGTCTCCACGCAGATGTATCAGCCGTACCCTTTTCCTGTTTCCAATTTAAAAAAATGTTTATCCATATCACCGTTACACCATAATGAGGTTTGAGATCGAATTTCGTCAAAATTGGACCGAAACTGCTGCTCCTCAAACACAAATAGTGTAAAAGTAAGTCATATCAAGGTTGTGGTCCCCCTAGTCTGCTCTAGAGGTCACAATTTTCATCTGATTTAAAAAAAAAATTCAAATATATCACCATTACACCCTAATGATGATTGAGTACGTAGTACATGTAAATCGGACCGAAACTGCCAGACAAAATGGCCGCTCTATGTACGCAAATAGTGTTAAAGTATGTAATATCCAGGTTGTGGACTCTATAGAGGTCACAATTTTGATCTGATTTTGATGAAACTTAAAACATGTGTTTATGTTCTAAAGATCTGGGTTCCATTCGATATTCACGCATATCGGACAGTTCCTGAATTGTGGTCCCCGATTGTACGAAAAAATTGCAATTTTAGCTTGTGGTCCGATTTTAAGTTGTTTAAATATATCATCGTTACACTCTGATGATAATCGAGTTCGAATTTCGTGAAAATCTTACCGAAACTGCCAGAAAAAATGGCTGTTCCTTTGTACGCAAGTAGTGTAATACCGAGATTGTGTACCCTCTAGATGTCAGAATTTTTATCTGATTTTGATGAAACTTAAAATATATGTTTATATCCCAGAGATTTCGATTCCTTTTGATATTCGTGCATATCAGATCATAACTTCCTGGATTATGTCCCCTGATTGTACAAAAGATAGGTTGCCAGGCAACGAAACATACACCCACAGCAGCTATATCGTCCCGGCAGTCAACAAGAGTTGTCGCATATTTTTACTTTTTTCTGTAATGAAACATTAATAATACATTAAAATCTGATTAAGAGTAACAACTCATTAAGTAATTATCAGAAAACCATTAGAATTTGTTCGGTTTTTATAAAGTTCTGCACCATGCTAACGTTTAGTATACAAAACTTTTAACAACATTGATTTAGCTGTTCAAGTCATAAAGATTCATTGAAAATCAATATACTTGTTCGTCTCAAGACCTTAAACTCTGTGTATCAATCTGAAGTCAATCGGATGATAACTTGAGCCTCTAAAGCGTCCACAGGATTTTTTGAAGTGATCAAGGGCCATAACTCAGGCAGTAATTATCGAAAATCGTTGAAAATCAATAGGCTTCTTCGACTCATGACCTTAAACACTGTGTATAAATCTAAAGTCAATCGGATATTAACTTTGACCTCTAGAGCGTCCACAAGATTTTTTGAAGTGATCAAGGGCCATAACTCTGGCAGTAATTATTGGAAATCACTGAAAATCAATAAGCTTCTTCGTCTCATGACCTTAAACACTGTGTATAAATTTAAAGTATTCGGATATTAACTTTAACCTCTAGAGCTTGTTAGCTTGTTTTGTGTCCATCTCTTGCAAAATGTGGGCGTATCTTGCATGGCAACTGCTTGTTACTTTTTGAAATAAAAATGGGACACACAGCCCGTTTAAACAATGCTGGATCATCCGAGAACTAGATATTTTTTTTTATATTGCCTTATATAGTAATAATAATTGTGCTATCTTATATCTATGTTATGTTTAAGCTATAGTAACAATAGTCTTTACATAAAAATAGCACAATGTTGTTAACATTTGAAATCTATATGAGTGATTTAGTGTGTTCTTTCTTTAAATAAAGGTACCTGATTTTCTCTCAACTGTTGTAATCTGTGAAAATCTTGACTTAACTGAGCAGCCTGTTCTGTGTCATTTAAATCGAAGTCCACTAAAATTTGAAAAACAAAAAAAAACAGTAATAACCATGTGAACTTCTGAAATAATGGAAGGAAGCAAAAAAAGAGAGACAGACATGGGGTTTAACATCTACTCAATACGGTTAGGAAGGCAACCCTACTCCTTGTCACTCCCATCTTCAATAGAAGGCTTGATTTAACTACGTACATCTTAACAAGGCCTTCTCGTAATACCCTGAATATTTCGGCACTAATTTCAATTGAGTACAAGTCCAGTTTGTAAGCCTAACAGATTCCTCGATCGTCGCAAATACCAAGTCTCACGCTTTCAAGCTAAAATGTCTACCTGTGATAATCGAGTTGAAAAGTTCAAGGTTTGTTCAATGTTAAGGTTTCCGTGGAGGTCACTATGTCACAACCTCTGATTGGATACTACTGTTCACGTGTCTGTAGATAATGTAGCTATAAGTTCGGGAATTGTGAAGTAATCTAGCAATGTCCAGATGTTGTAAAACTCGCAGTCGTTGCTTTAGGAACATGTGTCCAAAACAGGGCTTCCACTTCAAAATTTTCACTGCCGGTCATTTTTGATAACGCACGAAAACTTTTCAAAGTAAATTTATATTTCATGTTTTTTATTCATGGTAAGGTATTGTGAATTCACGTATCTATACTACTTTGTCACCATAGGGTGCACAAAAAAAATATATTTGACTTAAAAATGAAATATTAGTAAGGCTCATGATAAATATTCCGTTTTGACTACTTAAATAATGAAATAGTTGAATTGGCCGGAGAAAAACCATTTCAGTAGCTCACACGTAATTAACACGTGCTCTATAGAAAACACACTGACCTGGATAATTTTGAGTTGTAATACAATAACTTTGAAATGCAGATAAATATATAATTATCCATGGCATATATCTCACATATTTTTGGTTTTAGACCATCTCTTACGGAATTACGGGCCGCAGAATTGTGACGTAAATCCTAATAATGTATAACTAAATGACTAACGGATAACTAACTTCACGGCTAGCGACACTAGCGCCCCCTAGAATATGGTCGTGTATAAGAGTAACCATATATACACGACATTTCTTCTACACGTGGAATTATCAATATTGTTGCACAATAGAACTGGAATACGTATTTTTCTTAATTGTTCGGTAAGCAAGTTAACTAATCTCTAGATTTTATTTCAACAATTTCCACAAGGCCGTAATACCGCTATAAACATTTTATTTTTAAATGCATTTTTCTTCCAACACGTACGTTGTTGAGGATTTACGTAATTTCTATGCTGTTTTTATTTGATATGACAGTTGGTTGGATTCGAAGAGCAATACTTCATATCAATTGCCCTTTTTCGAAGATCATAATAACCTTGTTTACATTGTGCCTGACCGTAATAGCGGTAAACGGCTTTGTTGTTGAAAATTCTTATGACACGTGGACAATACGTGAATGATTAACAATGGGCCGCTTCACACCGTTGATTAGATTCCCACTTATCAATTAACATTTATTGCTCTACTACCAGACACTCATCATTAATTATCAACACAACACTCAGTATAATCTGTTGACGACTATATTTACAACTCTATAACACCAATCACGAGATTGGCTTCTAGACGACGTGCATTCTTGTATAGTTACACAGTGAAGGTCGATCGTAGTCATGTTTGAATTTTTTTTATTTTTTAAAAAGACCCTCTTTCCAGCGTACAAAATGACCGTTAGGTCAGATCTAGGAACAGTCATTTTCCATAGCCGTAGGTCTCGACCGGCATATACGGCCGACGTGGAACCCATGGTCCAAAACCACAACCACTTGAACACTTGAACAGACCACCCCCACCACCACCCTGGAATTCTGACAAGTGGTCATGATGGGATAGTGCAAATGTCATTCAATTCAATGGTAAAACTACCATTTCCATTCCTAGTGTGATGTGATTATTCTTATAATTTTTGGTGGATATTAGCCGTAATGTTACGATAGGTAATATATGTGATGTAAGTAATAATATTTACCTGCTAGATCTCTGAATGTATCTATTTCAGAATCAACAGGTAAATCAGGGACTGGTTTATCTTTACCTGATCTAGGCGATTTCTCTAGTAACTAAAGATAAAAAATATATATTCATATAATTTCTATAATATAGGTTGCCAGGTAATGAAACATATGCCCACAGAAGCTAAGTTGTAGACACATCAACATGTTAAAACGAAGGAGAAGATTAATCTGAACGTATTTTATTACTTTATTAATTTTATTTAATTATTTAGTATTTTTAATGATTTGATTTTATGTCGACACTGCTATTATTTTATGTATATTTTATGTATACATTCTTGTATGCAGTGTGTAACACTATAATAAACAAATTACTTCTTACTTACTTACTAACCTGTTTTTTCCGCGAGACTCAAGATTCACAACCTTTCTCCCGCACGGGAGGAAATTTCTCACAGAAAATGGCAATATGCCAATGCTATTTTTACTTTCACAAAGAGAGGTAACTCCCTTTACTTCCGTTTCATAAATCGTCCTTATGATTGACTGAATTTCACCGGAAACGTCTAATTCCAGTAATATGCTTGAAACCAGATGCTAATTGTAGGCAGGTTGGGGAGGTTCGGGTATTTCCGGAGTCCCAAATGGCTGCTTTATATAAATGGGAATTTAGGGGATCGAATCGGATCAAAATTGTGACCTCTAGAGGGTCTACAACCTTGATTTACAAGATGTTTACACTATTTGCATCCAGCAGTTTTGGCCCGATTTTCATGAAACTCAACCTCAGACAAAATTATGGTGTAACGGTGATATATTCGAATGTTTTTTTAAATCGGATAATAATTGTAACCTCTAGAGGGACCACAAGCTAAAAACGTGATTTTTCTTACAATCAGGGGCCATAATTCAGGAAGTTATGATTCGATATGCACGAAAATAGAAAGGAACCAAGATATTTGGGTTATAAACATGCATTTTAAATTTTATCAAAATCAGATGACAATTGTGACCTTCAGAGGGTCCACAACCCTGATACGCAATATTTTGACACTATTTGCGAACGAGGGACGGCCATTTTGTCCTCCGTCAATTTCGGTCTGATTTTTACAAAATTCGAACTCAACCATCCTTAGGGTGTAACGGTGATATATTCCCACTGTTTTTCAAATCGGATAAAAATTGTGACCTCTATGGGGTCCAAAAGCTAAAAAATGTGATTTTTCGTACAATCAGAGGCTATAATTCAGGAAGATATAGTGCGAATATCGAAAGGAACCGAGATCTGTGGGTTATAAACATATATTTTAAGTTTAAACCAAATCGGATAAAAATTGTGACAACTACAGTGTTCACGAGCTAAAAACGTGATTTTTCGTACAATCAGGGGCCATAATTCATGAAGTTACAGTCCGATACATGCCAATATTGAAAGGAACCAAGATCTTAGGGTGATAAACATATATTTCAAGTTTCATTGAAATCGGATAAAAATTGTGACCTGTTGAGTGTTCACAAACAATTGTGGATGGACGGACGTCACAGGGGCTACGACAATATACGTCCACATGAAAACATGAGATATGGCCATTTGAAATTAGGGTACTGAAACGGATCATAAATTCAGTAATTTTATTCAGTTTTTCTGGCGCTTTAAACTCACATTTCTAATAGGAGTAGAACTCTGACAACTTAGCATCACACACAATATGCGATTCACACAGTTCGTGCCCCCAGGTGGCAAAATGTGGAACAAATAAACTATTCACTTTTTTTCCAGGATTTTCACTGGCAAAGTCACTATTGTATACACAACCTCAGTTTGTCTTTTATCATTTTACAAAAGATTCTGAGTCGATGGGATATATACTTTTCCAAATATTCAGTCTCGATATTCAATGCACACTGAGTCAAAAATGTTCGAAAAACAGAATTTTACAAAATGATTCAAAATAAGGAAAAGGCTGAGGTAAACCAACAGTTTCTGGAATTGGAGACTCTTTTTATCCCTCGTAAAATCAAGGAAAAACCAAGATTGAACGAATCGGAGAACCAAACGAAATGCAGAAACGAAGTTGACATAATAAAGATGCAAAATGGAATCGACTGCATGTTTGAATTTTCTGCTAAACAAACAGAAGTCATCAATAAAGCAGAGACGGAACTATTGGCACATATTGAAGGACACCAAGACCAAGAACTAGTGGAACTTCTGAAAAATATGTGGAACAAAGAAATGTCTACAAAGGAAAATAAATCACACGCAATATGGAAAAAGAATAAGGAATTCTTGATAAACTTACCTACGCGTGCTGAAGAAATGGAGGACACCCATGCCGAGGCGAATGTTTGTCACAACACAGAGACACCTAATTCATCCACTGCAGCTCCACCCAGAGACACCTGGCAAACGGTCAAGAATAGAAAGCGAAAACTAGGGACTAAACCCAAAGAACAACCAAGGGCACAGAATAATGGATATAAAAGACCGAATGTGCGGAACAAAGTTGGGAGAAACGTGACCAATGTGTCTAGCACCAACCAAGGGAATACCAAACAACGGCGCTCTGGGCACTCTAATCCAACGCAGGGTCGTTTTTTTCAGAAAGGCCAATCCCAACCGCACCGACCACCCTCACAAAACCAATCGCACAGACCTCCACAACACTACAACAAGAAAACTCAGCATCGCTCCAACAACATGACCACAATACTAAATCACGAGAATCGGTACACCCGAAAATAATTAATATATCATCCACAGTCATAAATGATCAAGAGATAAACCTCCTATAGAAAGGCCTGAAATTCACAACGACGCCTAGACCCAATATACAGGAATTAGAGTGTGATATAAACGCTTTCTGTAGGAAACTACGACTGAAGGAATTTTTCGGTGAAACAGATGAAACTACGCCAGAGGATATTGTGAGGAACAAAAGTCACTTCAATCCAAGCTGGGGCAAGGACGTGACGCTGGACAATTTCATTGACTATTTAACAAAGTTGCCACTTCCTATAAACCGCAACGCAAAATCAAATGTGATCCCCCATGGCATACTGAGTCATAGTGAGGAAATTTTAAAAATTGAGTTATTGTTATTTTCACATTCTCCAAGTCATTACCTTCAATTTGATGTATAGTTTGTTTGAAACGGGCAAAAATTGACTGAGCTCAGTCCATTCGAAGCTACCCAACTCACAAAGTAAGTTTTGAGAAAAAGCATGTCAAAGATTTGGTATGTTCCAAAACAAAATCCCATTAGAAACCAGGCCATTCATTTGCTGTTTTGTCCTTGAATATATCTTTCCATGGGTTTTCAGGGGTGCTGAAGATGAAAATCGTAGTAAAAATTTGATCCGACGATTTCCGCCATTTATTTGCTATTTTATCGTTTAATATTTTTTTTTATTTAGGATTTCAAGGGTGCTGACGACGAAAATCGTAGTAAATGCACTCCTTTCGTGATGAAACATCCATAACACATGCGGCATATTCACATGTTAGTGATAGTGTTAATAATACTGAAGAATAATCTATATATTAGTAGTCTGTTTTGTATATTATAACGTTGGTGAGATTAACAGTTAATCTCATCAATTAATTAGCACCCTAGTTCCAGCTAGTGGTCAGGAGATTAAGATTGTTGATTGGATAATCTTCAAAGAAGCCGACACAGCTGTACACGTGTTCATTTAAATAAGATTTTGCGTGTATGATAGGTCTATTATTATTTTCAGGTACCGTAACCGTATCAAAATATGAGTCCCTATAGAAATGTCAATTTCATAGTTAAGAAATACTTACGTTCACTTTGTTTGAAACGGGCAAAAATTGACTGAGCTCAGTCCATTCGAAGCTACCCAACTCACAAAGTAAGTTTTGAGAAAAAGCATGTCAAAGATTTGGTATGTTCCAAAACAAAATCCCATTAGAAACCAGGCCATTCATTTGCTGTTTTGTCCTTGAATATATCTTTCCATGGGTTTTCAGGGGTGCTGAAGATGAAAATCGTAGTAAAAATTTGATCCGACGATTTCCGCCATTTATTTGCTATTTTATCGTTTAATATTTTTTTTTATTTAGGATTTCAAGGGTGCTGACGACGAAAATCGTAGTAAATGCACTCCTTTCGTGATGAAACATCCATAACACATGCGGCATATTCACATGTTAGTGATAGTGTTAATAATACTGAAGAATAATCTATATATTAGTAGTCTGTTTTGTATATTATAACGTTGGTGAGATTAACAGTTAATCTCATCAATTAATTAGCACCCTAGTTCCAGCTAGTGGTCAGGAGATTAAGATTGTTGATTGGATAATCTTCAAAGAAGCCGACACAGCTGTACACGTGTTCATTTAAATAAGATTTTGCGTGTATGATAGGTCTATTATTATTTTCAGGTACCGTAACCGTATCAAAATATGAGTCCCTATAGAAATGTCAATTTCATAGTTAAGAAATACTTACGTTCACTTTCGTGCATTTTGGCTTTGATGTAATTAAACAATGGCAGACTCGAGAATCGTCGCAATTCGACTCGTTGGTCTTCTCATTTTTTCGACCCATGGTGATAAGAGAATTTTAAACAATAATATCCAAGATGCATTCCTTACTTTGCATGCCGTATGAAGAAGCGACAGTAAAGTGAATTCATCTGTCAATAAAATTCTCTTCGAAAAGAAAATTATTGGCCATTTTTTTTATTTCCATTTAAGGCCTATAAATTATTTTTTTAAAGATGATATGAGGTATCAGATAATCACTGCTTCGATTAATTATTCGGAGTAAATAAGAATTTGTGGACGGCTTTATCATTGACCCGTGACAGTTGATTAGTATTACTCAATGATACCCAACCGCATGTCGATTAATTTACATAATCAGCCACGTGGTTTGGATTAACACTCAAAGGCAATCTATATACGATCAGAATTAATTTTTTTCTGCCACTTATGAGAGTGAATTGCATGTAGGTACCCGAAAACATTATTGCCAAAACCAAATATTTATCGCCAGCTCGAGTCAGCCACGTAACCATAATGCTTTTCACTCGGTGTCTGGGCCAATCAGCAAACGAGTTGTGTAGACAGCACA